AACATCATTTATCTTAAGTATGAGGTGAACGACTTGTAAATGACACAGGCAGAAAATAATAATAATAATAATAATAATAATGATACCGAAATCTCAAAAATGTGGCACATGGGAACATCAACAATCCCTGTTGAAGTTGGAGCCCTAGTATTGGTTGGAAAAGATTCCAGTAGACTAATTAAAGTGGTTCCTGGAAGTCCATGCCTTAAAGAAATACAAACAATTGTTCTCACAAGTACAGCCCACACTTTACGAAGGGCTTTATCTATCTATATTTCTGAGATGAGGTATTATGTACTGTATTTACATTAGTCGGACTATTGTCCTCATCTTTGTCGCCATATTTGTCACAACGTTTCAGGTGGTTGGAATTTCGAAAATAACTGATAACTGACATCCATCAAACATGGTACGTGGAACTAGAACAGTCTACCCCAGTGATCGAAATAAAGGGTTCAGTTCGAAATTCCAACCACCTGAAGAAGGCCGGAGCGTACAACGGCCAAAACGTTGAGACAAATATGGCGACAAAGATGAGGACAATAGTCCGACTAATGTAAATACTGGCTTTATCTGTGTAATATATATTCTGTATTGAGCACTGTTTTTTTTTAAATAAAAACAAAAATACTAAAGAACTTCGGATCATTAATCTAACAGTTCTTTCCTATCGTATCAATGCACACACACACACACACACACACACATATATATATATATATATATATATATATATAGATACACACACACACATATATATATTTGTTTTTTTTTTAGTTTTTTTGTTTTGTTTTTTTGTTTTTTGTTTTTTTGTCAGTGGAAAGTGTCATGATGCACTTTCTAACCTTAGGCCTCTGGGCGGAACCCGGAAAGAAATGTGCATCACGACAGAAATAATAATAATAATAATAATAATAATTGTCAAAATACAAGGACCTTGAAATAGAAATCTCGAAAATGTGGCACATGGGAACATCAACAATCCCTGTTGTAGTTGGAGCCCTAGGACTGGTTGGAAAAGATTGCAGTAGACTAATTGAAGGGATTCCTGGAAGTCCATGCCTCAAGGAGATACAAAAAGTTTTCTGACAAGTACAGCCCACACCTTACGAAGGGCTTTATCTATGCAATTTTTTTTTTTTTTGTCAGTGGAAAGTGTCATGACGCCATTTCTAACCTTAGGTCCCTGGTCGGGACCCGGAAAGAAATGTGTAAACGCCAGAAATCGAAGAAAATAATAATAATAATAATAAACAAAATGACTAATGTAACTCTTCCAATATCTTCCATTTTCCCCTTTAAAGTGGGCAAGTCGTTGATTTTGGGATGCAACAAGCGCCGGTACATTTTTGACCGGTAATTTGATCAGGTCCACGATTGAGCCGGGGTCTGACGCACGAGACGCGGAGATAAAGAAAACAGTTAACTATTCTCTTGTGGACAGATTTATTTTTACTCCAGTGGCAATCGTGTCTTCTGGTGTTATTGGCCCTCGTTTGATGGCATTCCTTCGGTGGAAGGGGATTGCTTCTCGATTAAGGGATGAGTCTCGCGAAACGGAGTGGCTCTTGCAGCGTGTCTCACTGGCTATGGTGCGAGGTAATGCTTTCTCCATTGCGGCTGGCAGAGGATAGCAAAAAATGTTTTTGTTTATAGTTACTTTGTTCAAATAAAAACCTTATATTTAACATCACTTCCAGAAGAGAGCGATTTAAGAAAAGAAAAAAGAAAAGACAATGTTTAATAATAACTAACTAATGTACTAGCAGAACATTTCAGGATGTGGTAGGCTTCCAGATTGTTACTCACGTTTAAGCTGTGTTTCACTCTTTGTCACGTTCATTACAAGTGCAACCGTTTTTCTCACAAAAAGCGAAGTTTGTACAAAGAATTGCATTTTTTACTGTTTGTACTTACATAGAATTTTTAAACGTAACTTCAAGACGATAGACACACTGTCAGAATAATGTTAAACTTTCTCTCTTTCTTTCGCTTTCCTCTTTCTTTCTTTCTTTCTTTCTTTATCTCTTTTTTCTTTCTTTCTTGCTCTCTTGCTAACTCATGGAAATGTTATCTCTTTTCTTTCTTTATTTATTTTCTTCCTGCTCTCTCTCTCTCACTTTCTTTCTTTCTCTCTTTCTTATTTTCTTTCTATCTTTCCCTCTCTCTCTCTTTCTTATTGTTTCTCTTTCTGCTTGATCTTCGTTAACACGTAAGATACACCATGCTATTAACTCAGATAAACAATAGATCAACGATGTTTGCGAGAAGAAAGAAAGAAAGAAAGAAAGAAAGAATGAGAACAAGAAAAAAGAAAGAAAGAATAAGAACAAGAATAAAGAAAGAAAGAATGAGAACAAGAAGAAAGAAAGAAAGAAAGAAAGAAAGAAAGAAAGAAAGAATGGAAACTAGAAGAAAGAAAGAAAGAAAGAAAGAAAGAATGAGAAGAAGAAAGAAAGAAAGAAAGAAAGAAAGAAAGAAAGAATGATGATTTTTCCAGTCCTGATGAAACTCACTAAATAGGTTATGTGTTGTTTTCCTCTGTTCCTCTTGCCTTCAGTCTATCCTGTGAGTATCAGATTTTCCAAGCACTCTTTCCTCATTATTTGCCCTAGAAATTTCAACTACTGTTTCTGGATGTTAAGTATAAGTTTCCTTTTTGTTTCCACTTGAAGTAGTGTGGAATGTTAACATCTTGATTGCGCCATTATTTTCTCTTCGAGTTCCATGTGCTTTCCATTTTAGTTGTTGCGGCTGTTGGTAGTCCTCAGCTGATGTGGTTTCTGTTATTTGGTACAGTTCTTTGTTTATGATTGGACATCGCCAGTTCACAATGTCTGAAGAAGAATGCCAATTATACATCGATTCCTGAAATGTACAATTGACGTATATTTGGTGTCGCTTAGATGGGATTAGAAAAGCGGAGTTGGATTAAAAAAAATCATTCATCTGATCCCAAAAATGACCTGCAATCTGGTGTTAAATGGAGCAAGGAGTGACTTGCTAATCAAAAACGAAACTGCTCTCTTTTAATCATCTGAAAAAGCCCTTTTTTTACTTTTCATCATCATGGCTGAAGCTAACCTCAAGGAGAGTGACACATTGCTTCTTACACTAACGTTTTCAGCTAAGATGAAGTGGAAAGAGTCTATTGAATCAATTGCCGAGTCTGAAGCTAAGAAAGTTGATTTACTATCTGAGAGAGACCTTTTTAGCTTCCATCATCATGACTGATGCTAATCTCAAGGAGAGTGACGCATTACGTCTTCTTAGACGAAAGTTTTCAGCTAATATGAAGTGGAATTGGTATATTGAATCATTTGCTAAGTCTGCAGCTAAGAAAGTTGATTCAATATGCCGTGCTAGATAAATTTTATCGCCAAATTCTTAAACATTTTAAAACCTGTCATTCGTCCTTTCTTTGATTACTGCTGCCACACATGGACTGGTGTTCCTGATACATATTTAGAGATTTTTAATAAAATTCAATGAATCTGCAATATTACTGGTCCTAACCTGCCATCTTGGAAAATGGGTGCCTCATGAATTGTCTGAAAGCAACCTCAAATGCCGAGTTGACATCTGCTCTTCTCTCCATTCTCGCCAACTTGTTTCACCTTTTATGGATAGACTTGTGATTGGCGACGAAAAATGGATCTTTTATCAAAATGTTAAGCGTCGTAGACAGTGGCTTGGTAAAGAGGAAGGACCCCAGCCACAGCCGAGATGGGAACTTCATGGGCAAAAGATTCTTCTTTCAATCTGGTGGGATCGCCAAGGAATAATCCAATTTGAATTCTTACCACCTAATGCAACAATTAATGCTTAAATTCAGCAATTAAACTTTGAGGAAAAAAAGACCTGCTCTAGTGAATCGAAAAGAGGTGATGTTGATCGAAGAACTTGGTTGGGAGAAAATTCCTCATCCACCTTATTCTCCCGATCTTGCTCCTTCAGACTACCATTTGTTTCGTAGCTTACAGAATCATTTGGAAGAAACAGCTTTTGTCACACAAGAAGAGGTTAAAACTGACATTTGTGAGTTCATCGAATCAAAACCGAAAGAATTTTACAGTAATGGAATTAGTAAGCTTTTTAATAGATGGAAGGAAGTCATAGATAATCAGGGAAAATTTGATTGAATCTGTAATTAAATGTAACATTTGGTCACTTGTTTTCTTTATTCAAAATTCAGACAGAACTTATGGGATGAACTGATAGATATAGCCGTAAGTTCTATGCTAACAGTTTCTTCTACCGCACTTATCGCTTGTGGAACTCACTTCCGGCTTTTTGCTTTCAAGTCAACTTTTATCTTAAGAAAATCTGATGTGTTTTTTAGTTTCTCTTGCCTCCAATCTGTCCTGTGAGTATCAGATTTTCCAAGCATTCTTTTCTCATTATGTGCTCTAAAACTTTCAGTTATATCTTCCTGATATTAAGTTTCTTATTTGTTTCCATATTCACTAAAACTTAGTCGTTGTTCACATGTTCGGTCGATGGTATCCTCAGTATCCTGCTGTAGAAAGAAATTTCGGCTCCATTAAGAATCTTCTTCATCTTTGAGGAGATTGTCTAGCATAAAAGTTCAGTTCTCTTTTTTTTTGTTTCTAACGAAATTTCGCTGTTTCTTAACACTCTACTTAGCTTTTGGAAGGCATCTTTCACTATCCCAAGACTCCTTAGCGATACCTGACATCCCTGAAAGCGACTAGGTGGCAGTACTTCTTGGGACAGCCCATGGGTCGAGGAAATTGCAATGCCTCGAAGCTGGGATAGGAGCTGAGATATGATAATCATCAGCAGGCCGAAATATCTAAGAGTGATAGGCTGATTTGATAATTAAGATTTATCAAACTTTTACAGGTTATTTAAAGCCCTCAAATACTTTTTGGTTGTAATTTTTTTTTTTTTTAAATAATAATAATTTATTATTAACCCTTAGCTGGAAGAAAATAGCAGGATTCATACTTTTCCATAACACCACCCACATATTCAAGATTGCAACTCCTGGTATTCCCAAGCGGTCACCCACTTAGGTACTGACCAGACTCGACGTTGCTTAACTTCGGCGATCTTTTGAGAAAGCGAAAATATCTAAGAATCGGAGAGAATATCAAGCAATATTTTTTTTCTATATTAATGTCCAATGAATGCAAGACACAAGACTCTACTAATTAACCCATGGCTGGGGGAGACGTGGAATAATTACATTCGATAGGGTATTTGTGCGCAAGTGAATATAACGAACTTGACGGGAATTGAAACCCGGCTTTCTGATTTCAAATTCCGTGACTTTATCCATTGCACCAGACGAACATTCATGATTGCAGCACCTGGCATTTCCAAGCGGTCACCCTTTATGTAATGACCACGTTCAACGTTGCTAAACACCGGTAATCGTAGGAGAACCGATGTCTCAGCGTGATATGGCCGGAAGTCCCTAGAACTGAAGTGGTCAAGATTATAGTGATTGGGAAAAACATAATAATAGGAATGGCTGGTCTGCTTGGAACTGATCGTACTGAGGGGAGAGTCATGTGCCTAAGCTGTGGGTAGGAACTGACACGTAGTCATCATAATCCAGTCGAATGATATAAGAGTCGGAAAGGATCTGAAATAATAATAATAATAATAATAATAATAATAATAATGGTGTCAAGACTTACTCCCGAAATAAATGTCTGATGCAAAATTTTGTGACAGCTCAATATTAGACGATAACTCTTATGCTTGTAAGATAATGCCAACGAATAAAAAATGGATCTCAAGGGAAATCACAATCAGTTTCTTGTGGATATAAACAAAGACGGGGGAAGTAGGTAGTAAGTGATTTTGATTTCTTGCCCTTAGCTGCTTCCATACTAACGGATTTAGCAGCGTTATCCCGAGGATATCAAGTCTTTGTTTCTGAACAACGTCTCAGAATACAGCGTAATCCACTCGTTTGATATTTTTATTCTACAAATATAGGAACGTCTTGTTTCTCACTCGTTTATCTTGCAACTGATTTTACCGATTCTTTAAGAGAAATAAGATATCCAAGAAGAAACTGTCAAAACAAATTCAGACGAAAGATTATTCGAGTATTTTTGTTTTTTATCTGAATGGTGTTCTTCATTTTAAAAGTTCTTTTCTTTTGTCTCCACATCCTACTTCTTTCTTTCTTTCTTTCCATTTTCTTTCTTTCCATTTTCTTTCTTTCCATTTTCTTTCTTTCTATTTTTCTTTTTCTTTTTTCTTTCTTTTCTTTTATTGTTTTCTTTGAGTTTACTCTCTTTCTTTCTTTCTTTCTTTCCATTTTCTTTCTATTTTTTCTTTTTCTTTTTTCTTTCTTTCCATTTTCTTTCTTTCCATTTTCTTTCTTTCCATTTTCTTTCTTTCCATTTTCTTTCTTTCCATTTTCTTTTTCTTTTTTCTTTCTTTTCTTTTATTGTTTTCTTTGAGTTTACTCTCTTTCTTTCTTTCTTTCTTTCCATTTTCTTTCTATTTTTTTTTTTTTTCTTTCTTTTCTTTTTTTATTGTTTTCTTTTGAGTTTCTCTTTCTTTTTCTTTCTTTCCATTTTCTTTCCATTTTTCTTTCTTTTTCTTTCTTTTTTTTTTCTTTCTTTCCATTTTCTTTCTTTTCCATTTTCTTTCTTTCCATTTTCTTTTCTTTTCCATTTTTTTTCTATTTTTTCTTTTTCTTTTTTTCTTTTTTTTTATTGTTTTCTTTGAGTTTACTCTCTTTCTTTCTTTCCATTTTTTTTCTATTTTTTTTTTTTTTTTTCTTTTTTTTTCTTTCTTTCCATTTTCATTTTCTTTCCATTTTCTTTCTTTCCATTTTCTTTCTTTCCATTTTTTTCTTTTCTATTTTTTCTTTTTCTTTTTTCTTTCTTTTCTTTTATTGTTTTCTTTGAGTTTACTCTCTTTCTTTCTTTCTTTCTTTCCATTTTATTTCTATTTTTTCTTTTTCTTTTTTCTTTCTTTTCTTTTATTGTTTTCTTTGAGTTTACTCTCTTTCTTTCTTTCCATTTTCTTTCGATTTTTTCTTTTTCTTTTTTCTTTCTTTCCATTTTCTTTCTTTCCATTTTCTTTCTTTCCATTTTCTTTCTTTCCATTTTCTTTCTATTTTTTCTTTTTCTTTTTTCTTTCTTTTCTTTTATTGTTTTCTTTGAGTTTACTCTCTTTTTCTTTCTTTCTTTCTTTCCATTTTTCTTTCTATTTTTTCTTTTTTTTTTTCTTTCTTTTCTTTTTATTTCTTTTTTCTTTGAGTTTACTCTCTTTCTTTCTTTTTTTTCTTTCTTTCCATTTTCTTTCTATTTTTCTTTTTTTTTTTTTTTTTCTCTCCATTTTTTCTTTCTTTCCATTTTCTTTCTTTCATTTTCTTTTTCTTTTTTTTTTCTTTTTTTTTCTTTCTTTTCTTTTATTTTTTTTCTTTGAGTTTACTCTCTTTCTTTCTTTCTTTCTTTCTTTCCATTTTCTTTCTATTTTTTCTTTTTCTTTTTTCTTTCTTTTCTTTTATTGTTTTCTTTGAGTTTACTCTCTTTCTTTCTTTCTTTCTTTCCATTTTCTTTCTATTTTTTCTTTTTCTTTTTTCTTTCTTTTCTTTTATTGTTTTCTTTGAGTTTACTCTCTTTCTTTCTTTCTTTCTTTCTTTCCATTTTCTTTCTATTTTTTCTTTTTCTTTTTTCTTTCTCTCCATTTTCTTTTCTTTCCATTTTCTTTTTCTTTCCATTTTTTTTCTATTTTTCTTTTTTTTTTTCTTTCTTTTCTTTTTTGTTTTCTTTTGAGTTTACTCTCTTTCTTTCTTTCTTTCTTTCTTTCCATTTTCTTTTCGATTTTTTTTTTTTCTTTTTCTTTTCTTTTCTTTTATTGTTTTCTTTGATTTTTCTCTCTTTCTTTCTTTCTTTCTTTCCATTTTCTTTCTTTTTTTCTTTTCTTTTTTCTTTCTTTTCTTTTATTGTTTCTTTTGAGTTTACTCTCTTTCTTTCTTTCTTTCTTTCCATTTTCTTTCTATTTTTTTTTTTCTTTTCTTTCTTTTCCATTTTCTTTCTTTCCATTTTCTTTCTTTTTCCATTTTCTTTCTTTCCATTTTTTTCTATTTTCTTTTTTTTTTTTTTTCTTTTCTTTCTTTGTTTTCTTTGAGTTTACTCTCTTTCTTTCTTTCTTTCCATTTTCTTTCTATTTTTTTTTTTTTTTTTTTTTTCTTTTTTTTTGTTTTTTCTTTGAGTTTACTCTCTTTCTTTCTTTCTTTCTTTCCATTTTCTTTCTATTTTTTTTTTTTTTTTTTTTTCCATTTTCTTTCTTTCCATTTTCTTTCTTTCCATTTTTTTTTTTTTTCTTTCTTTTCTTTTATTGTTTTCTTTTGAGTTTCTCTCTTTCTTTCTTTCTTTCTTTCCATTTTCTTTCTATTTTTCTTTTCTTTTTCTTTCTTTTCTTTTATTGTTTTCTTTGAGTTTACTCTCTTTCTTTCTTTCTTTCTTTCCATTTTCTTTCTATTTTTTCTTTTTCTTTTTTCTTTCTTTCCATTTTCTTTCTTTCCATTTTCTTTCTTTCCATTTTCTTTCTTTCCATTTTCTTTTTCTTTGTTCTTTCTTTTCTTTTATAGTTTTCTTTGAGTTTACTCTCTTTCTTTCTTTCTTTCTTTTCATTTTCTTTCTATTTTTTCTTTTTCTTTTTTCTTTCTTTTCTTTTATTGTTTTCTTTGAGTTTACTCTCTTTCTTTCTTTCTTTCTTTCTTTCCATTTTCTTTCTATTTTTTCTTTTTCTTTTTTCTTTCTTTCCATTTTCTTTCTTTCCATTTTCTTTCTTTCCATTTTCTTTCTATTTTTTCTTTTTCTTTTTTCTTTCTTTTCTTTTATTGTTTTCTTTGAGTTTACTCTCTTTCTTTCTTTCTTTCTTTCCATTTTCTTTCTATTTTTTCTTTTTCTTTTTTCTTTCTTTTCTTTTATTGTTTTCTTTGAGTTTACTCTCTTTCTTTCTTTCTTTCTTTCCATTTTCTTTCTATTTTCTTTTCTTTTTTTTTCTTTTCTTTTTATTTTTTTCTTTGGGTTTACTCTCTTTCTTTCTTTCTTTCCATTTTCTTTCTATTTTCTTTTTTTTTTTCTTTCTTTTCTTTTATTTTTTTCTTTGGGTTTTCTTTTCTTTTTTTCTTTCTTTCCATTTTCTTTCTATTTTTCTTTTTTCTTTTTCTTTCTTTCCATTTTCTTTTTTCCATTTCTTTCTTTCCATTTTCTTTCTATTTTTTTTTTTTCTTTTTTTTCTTTCTTTTCTTTTATTGTTTTCTTTGAGTTTACTCTCTTTCTTTCTTTCTTTCTTTCCATTTTCTTTCTATTTTTTCTTTTTCTTTTTTCTTTCTTTTCTTTTATTGTTTTCTTTGAGTTTACTCTGTTTCTTTCTTTCTTTCTTTCCATTTTCTTTCTATTTTTTCTTTTTCTTTTTTCTTTCTTTTATTGTTTTCTTTGAGTTTACTCTGTTTCTTTCTTTCTTTCTTTCCATTTTCTTTCTTTCTGTTTTTTCTTTTTCTTTTTTGTTTCTTTTCTTTTATTGTTTTTTAGGTTACTCTCTTTCTTCTTTCTTTCTTTCTTTCTTTCTATTTTTTCTTTTTTCTTTCTTTTGTTTTATTGTTTTTTTAGGTAACTCTCATTCTTTCTTTCTTTCTTTCCATTTTCTTTCTTTCTATTTTTTCTTTTTCTTTTTTCTTTCTTTTCTTTTATTGTTTTCTTTGAGGTTACTCTCTTTTTCTTTCTTTCTTTCTTTACATTTTCTTTCTTTACATTTTCTTTCTTTTTTCCTTTTTCTTTCTTTCAATTTTCTTTCTATTTTCTTTCTTTTCTTCTATTCTGAGTTCTTTACGGTTACTCTCTTAATTTATTTATTTCCTTCTTTCTTTTCGATTTTCTTTCTTTCTTTCTTTATTTCCATTTTCTTTCTTCGTATTTTCTTTCTCTCCATTTTTCCTTCTCTCTATTTTCTTTATTTCAATGTTATTTTTCTTTCTTGCTTTCCATTTTTATTTCTATTTTCTTTCTTTCTTTTCGTTTTAATTGCAGTGTCAACTATTTTCTTGTGTCTTTTAATTCCTATCCTTTTATTGTTCTCTTACCTTAATAGTAATTTTCTTCATATAACGCTCAATAACCCCTTGCGTCTTAGTGACTGTATCGCCTTGCATGGGATGAACGGATTATATATATATATATATATATATATATATATCACTTTTTAAAATTCAAACAAAATTCTCACTTGATTGATTTGAACCAGAACGCTAGCGTCGCGGTATCGTACGCTCTAAAACATATATTTATATGTCAATAAATAACATAAAAAACACATTTCTCGCTCGACACTACACATATTTCGTCTAATTTTTTTGCCTGTATATGGAAAAATTGCGGCCCGAAGATGACAATTTGAAATTGTCGAAAGTACTTGATTCGTCAATTCCATCTGACAATATCTCAAATATAAGGATCGTATCATTCAAGGAATTGATACGAAGTTAATATCTCATTAAGTCTTGTTAGCGAAGTGATTTCGCCATTTACCACATTAACATGTCTAATTAATTCTTGGTATAAATTGTTTCTTTATATATATATATATATATATATATATATATATATATATATATATATATATAAACGGATCCCCATCAAAGGTTTTCGGATGCAACGGAGAAAATCTGCAATCAAATTGAAAAAAACATCTGAAAGGAAAAAAATTACAAATCGCTAGTATTCGATATATTTCAAAAGTTGAGAGATTAGTGAAACGAGACGCATTAGTTCTCAAAGTGACCGCGGGGCGGCGGTGTCGGGCCGTGCAAGTGTAAACCAAGATGGGTGAGTGAGTCAGTCGTTCACTTTTGAACTGACTGCTCGCTTGAAATCTTTTCCTACGGACGGGAGGATCCCGAAGGAGGCTCCGCCTAAGGGCGTTTCTTCTTTCGGGAGGTAAGTTATCGGCCCTGAACCCATTTTTATACGGGTTCAATGGTATATTTTTGGCCGAGCACACGGGCTCGGAATGCCCACGTTAAAAAGGCCTTGTGCCACATGACACCCTCGTGGAGGGGTGACTCAATATCGTGAACGAAGATGGGTGTACAGTATATAAAGTACGATACATTAGCGCGTGCGTGAGAAAGTAGCCGTGAATCAGAAAGAAAGTGTAAAAAGGAACCATACAAGTATCAGTTATAAATTAGAGCTTCTTCCATCTACGGACAATCGGATTTAACGGATCACCCTTCCTCCTTTTTAGCTCGTTGATGAGAGGTTTGTCTTATGCATCTGAAAATAATTCATATTTATCTGTATCTCACTCATTTAAACCGTTATTTAACACCTCTCTTTAAAACTTCTCTCTGTTAAATTTTAATCCCCACCTTCACCTTTAGGCCTTCCTGTTCTTCTTTCTTCTATTACACCCTCTCTCTAGAGCTTTCATACATTTCCCTCTCACCCTTGTTTCTCACTCCCACACATACACTTCACTAAAATTTTATTATATATACCCAGAGTTATATTTTCCAATTTCTTTTTTTAATTTGTGAGTCTGATAAATTGTATCGTGATTGCGTTTCCAATGTAATAAGTTATAACCATGGAATATTAGTGTTTGAGACATTTATATTATATTCTTACTCTGTCCTGGACATTGAGTTCTACCTGGATTCTATCCCTTGGGATATATATATATATATATATATATATATATATATATATATATATATGTATGTATCTAAGCTCTACTTTGTATGGAGCACTGTTTTTAAAAATAAAAAACAAAAATACTAAAAGAACCCTGGATTATTTACCTAACGTAATTTCTTTCCTCATTTTCTACATACCTGCACACACACACACACACACACACACACACACACACACACACACACACACACACACACACACACATATATATATATATATATGTATATTTATATATATATATATATTGTGTGTGTGTGTGTATAAATATATACATTGACTATTTATTTTATCATAAATATATATATATATATATATATATATATATATATATATATATATATAAATATATTTATATATTGATCATCTATCTATATATATATATATATATATATATATATATGTGTGTGGGAGGTAGATTAAATAGTCCGGTTAATGGAATTTGAAGAATAAAAGACAACAAAATGATAATAATATTGGCAATGAAAACGCTTGTGTGAATGAACGCCGGAAACGTGATGGGAGGGATGTCAGAAAGGCACTTGCTGTTAAGAGCAACAAGTGATAGGAAGTTTTGGAGAGCCATGATCATTTCTTTAGAAAGCTGAGACACAAAACCTTTAGCAAACGCTTTTTTGTCAGCTGTTTCGTACGTCTCAGACACGGTCTCTCAAACTTTTTACTTGAACTTCTTGTAATAAAATTTAAATTCAGTTCACTACCAAAAACAAGGCCTAAGAGCCACTCCAGATAAAACGATTTCCCACGCATCATGGATCCAGATGTCAGGCTGGTCCTATCTCGAATACTACTGGAAAGTCTCCCATCTCGGATCGAAGTGTGTGGAACGAACATCCAATTCTGGTTAACTGAAAGTGATAACTACCTTAGCATTTAGATCACATTTTAAGAGCAAAGGTAAGTAAGCCATAAATAAAAAATAAGTAAGAAAATTATGTGTAAATTTCTGGAATGAGAATTTTATTATTATTTCTATTTTTATATTATTTATATATTTACATTATTTACATTATTTATATATTTACATTATTTATATTATTTATATATTGCTATTCGGACTATTGTTTTCATCTTTGTTGCTGTTATCCCAACGTTTCGGCCGTCGTGTTATCCGACATTTCTCAGCTGCATATTGCTCTGCGTAACGAAAAGGGAATTATAAACTGAACCCTTTATTTAATTTATGAGGGTAGACTATTCTCATTCCTATGCCCATGTCTAGGCATGAGGACAATAGTCCAAATATAAATAGTTTAAGGACATCTTCAGGGGTATATTGTTATATCCTTCGACCTTCCTTAAGTGTATATCGATCTGGGTACCCTACAGAGAATTCTAAACTGAACCCTTTATTTAATATATGGGGGTAGACTGTTCTCGTTCCAATGCCCATGTCTAGGCATGAGGACAATAGTCCAAATATAAATAGATTAAAGACATCTTTAGGTATATATTGTTATATCCTCCGGCCTTCCTCAGGTGTATATCGGTCTTGGTAACCTATAGGGAATTCTGAACTGAACCCTTTATTTAATCTATGGGGGTAGACTCTTCTTAGTCCACTATCAGTGCAACTCCCGTAGATTAAATAAAGAGTTAAGTTAAGAATTCCGTTATCCCCTTAATTTACGCAGATCAGTATACAGCTGAGGAAAGCCGGTGAACACAGCGGCCGAAACGTAGTGATAACAGCAACCAAGATCAGGACAATAGTTTTATAATATATATATATATATATATATATATATATATATATATATATATATAATTAAAAAAACAGACCACTTTAAGGTGCCATTATAATAATTTATTTCACCAGAGCCCTTTTAAGGGACGATGGATCATCAGATAACACTTCCAAAAATGAAATGAAAGATGAAATGAAAATTCACACTTTTGACGGGTAGTATCAAGTTTATGTAATTTAAGAAAGATGGTAGGGAGTAGTGGTGTGAGAGACATGGTCGAGTTTAGAGAGGGTTTATTTTAATATTTCTTTCAATCGTACTTAGTATTGAGGGAGGAGGGACCAGACCATGACCTATTTAAACGGTTAACTTAACGGAAGTGATATATTGAAATGAGAGGGGAGAAGAGAGAAAAAGAAAGAAGGGGGAAGTAAAGAGAAAGAAGCTATAATTAGGTTTTACGTAGGAAGAAGGGGATGGTATATTTTTTAGCAATTTATGTAAAAAAAAAATAGATTTTAATGTTTGATAGTAATTTAAATGTTAAAAAAATACGAGTAAATTAATTTGATGCTTGCTAGCAATTTAAATATTTAACTCTTTTACAAATAACTTAGGGATTTAATATAACTTAAATACTGTATTTATTAACACATTCATAGAGAACACATTAAAAGAATTTTTAAAAATATAACAGTTTACTGAGAGTAATCTTTTAATATTGTAAATGACTGTTAAGGTAACATCTTTATCAGTTTGAATCTAATTCATGAATGTAATTTGTAACTATTTTTAGATGGGTAATCTTCCTTACTAAAGTTTAGGTTTCAAATTAAGATGGAGTAATATTGGAAGGTAATATTAAAGATTTTGTTTTTTTTTCCTTATATATATCCCACATATACACTTCTGTAAATTTTACATATACATATGTATATGTAAAATTTACATAAGTGTATATATGTGGGATATATATGTAAGGAAAAAAAATTTTAATATTACTCACTATATATATATATATATATATATATATATATAGATAGATAGATAGATAGATAGATAGATAATATTTTTCCATAAAAAAAGATGAGGTGGGTAGCTTAGTATACCAACGGATGATGCATGATAGGGACTCAGGCAGACATTTCTAGCCAGAGAGTGTGGTTATACAATTGCACCCATGTACACCTCAGGTCTTGCCAGGTACCTCGGCTAGTATATATATATATATATATATATATATATATATATATATATATATATATATATATATATATATATATATTAAAGAGAAGAGAGAAGTTTTAAATGTTTTTGTTTATAATGCTGATTTGTACAATATATATTATACTTTATTTTCCACATTGTTTGCTACATGCGTTTCGGGTCTTGTAACCTTCATTAGGCAAATAATGATTAT